ACAGCTGTAAGCATTCTTCTGGGAACTGGCACTGGAGCTCATCTCGACTGCTTAATTCAATTACCTAAATCAGTCATGTAGTAGTAATGTAATTTGCCCATTTCGACAGCTGAAAAGAAGTTTAATCTATAAAGAGTAAGTAAAAAGGAAAAACTACACTATTCCCCCACCTTGGAAGCAAATAATAAATACCTTACCTGTTTACTCTCAAAATCTATTAACTCCCAGTTAACCCCTGCTTTAGAAATCTTTATTTAACCATGTGATAAATTTATATTACCACAATGAACGAACAGATACGCAAACAAAGGCATTTGCATCTCTCCTTACTATCAAGTGATCTATATAAAATGCAAACTGTTCACTTCTCTACTTATAAGGCCCTTCAATATGTGTTCCTAGTCATCTCGAGTCTCACCTTTCATCATCCCCCAAAGCCACAAAACTCAGCCCTCCAGTTCTATAAAATTATCTGAGCATATCAAGCTCTCGCATCCAGGAGCCATTTCCTCTGCCTGGAACATACATCCTTCCTTTCCTTCTTTGCCTAGCTAATGTCTAGACATCCTTCAGCTCTCAACTTAGAAGGCTCTTCCTCAAAATAAAATTTTCTGGCTCGTATGGTCTAGGTTAGATACCGCTCCAAAGAATTCCCACAGTTCCCTGTACTTGCTCCATCACAGCACTATGTAAACAAGCAATTACAATTAAGTGTGATTTGTCTACATCCCTCACTAGACCAAAAGAATCCATAAACACAGGAAGTGAGAGTAGACTTGTCTCATTCACTACTGCTCAAACATCTGGTAAGAGGTAGAAAGTTAAATATACTAAAAAAAAAAAAAGAATGAATAAAATAAGTTTGATATTAATATTCAGTGTGGGATTTTGTTTTGTTTTTAGTAAAATAGTAAACATCTATTTCCTCAGTAAAAACTGGTCACACTTCCTTTTTGGTTTATTGTTGTAGTTTAAGTGAAAGTAAAACTGGTCACATTCTAAGGTAGTTCAAGTCAGCAAATATTTACTGCCTAGCCACCTAAGAGTCAAAAAGAATGTAAGTCAGGGTCCAGTCTTCAAGGAATTTATAGTCTTACTAGAGAAAATAAGACACATTCACACATGAAAGTTAAACAGTACAAAATAATAATGTGCTCCATAGATACTCAGACGTTAAGTACCAAAGAAGAGATAAGAGAAAGGGCTGGGAACGTATCCTGAAAGTAAGATTTAAGCTGAGCTTTAAAGGATAAGTAAAGCTGAAGACAGAAGAAACAGCATGAGAAATTACAAAGACAGAAATGTGCTAGTTCAGTGATTCTCAAAGCGTGGTCTGAAGACCCTCTCCCCTTTCAGTGGACTTCAAGGTCAGAAGTATTTTCATAATAAGCATAACATGTTATTTGATTTTTTAACTTTCATTCACTCTCACTTATACAATGGAGTTTTCCAGAGGCTCCATGATATGTGATATTACAACAGGTTGAATGCAGAATGAGGTAAGAGAATCCAGCTGTTTTCTATTAAGCAAGATGTTAAAGAGATTTATAAAAATTAAAACAATATCACTTGTAACATTTTTGTTTTGAAAAAATACTTGTTTCCCCTAGAAGTATGTTATTTGTGTTTATGGAATTGTTATTTTTCAGTAAATTAATAAATATTTTTATTTTTCTAGTTTGAATTTCTAACATGGCAAATATTGACAAATATACCCCACATAACAAAAGCTCTTTGGGTCCTGTATAATTTTTTAAGAGTATGAAAAAGGTACTCAAAAGTTTGAGGATCACTGGGCTAGCTGTTTTTAGAGATGGCTGGGACATCAGCCTGGACTCTCTGTGTAGAGAAGATGTGTTAGACACAAAATTAGCTTAGGCACTGTATAATTTACAATCATGTTTAAGGTGCAAGTATGGGCTTTCCTCTCAGTAACGTATTTTTATTTAGTGAAAAAATACAAAAGGAATCTTTTAAAATCATTCTTATCCTCCCACCTAAACACACACACAATGTATACACACACACACATATATGTATACATATAGTTTCATATTCTTTTAGAATTATTATATACAGGCATTTTTACAGTCTCCACAATTATCATTAAAGATGGCTGCATAATCATATCCAGCATTCTTATAAGCCTCAATAGTACTTTTCACATTTGATTTTCAAAGTATTTCACAAAAATATTCTGAAGCCTCACACTAAAAGAATATGGCAGATTAACAAAAACAAAAAAAACCAAACCCACTGCCATTGAGTTGGTTCCCACTCATAATGACCCTAGAGGACAGAGTAGAACAGCTCCACAGGGTTTCCAAGGCTGTAAATCTTTACAGAAGCAGACTGCCACATCTTTCTCCTGTGGAGTGGCTGGTGGATTTGAACCGCTGGCCTTTCAGTTGGCAGCCGAAAACTTTAACCACTGTACCACCCTGGTAGATTACGACTCCAAAATACTTATTTCTAGAATAGCAACAGATCTTATCTTTTAAATCAAACTTACCTGAGAGATCCTGTAGCTTGGACCACAAAGATAATGACATTTTGCCCACAAAACTTCTGGAGAAACCCTGAATTCAGTAATATGTATCTCCCTAACTCTGAAGGCTCTAAACCAAACCAAACCAAACCTGTTATCGTCGAGTCAATTATGACTCAAAGCGAGCCTACAGGGCAGAGTAGAACTGCCTCATCGGGCTTCCAAGGAACGACTGGTGGATTCCAACTGCCGACCTTTTGGTTAGCAGCCGAGCTCTTAACCACTGTGCCACCCGGGCTCCTTGAAGGCTCTACACACCCTCAAACTACCTCAAGAGCCTGTTTCTCACTATTCCAGGTGCTACTCATAGTTCCATAAGCACAACTAAGGCTTACATTGGTGCATCCCACCACCTGAAAAGACTTCTTCCCTCATTCTACCTGTCCAAAATTTATCCTCTAAGGGTCAACTTGAAAGCTAGCACATCCAAGATTCCTTCTGAGTTCCTTCCAACTGAACATTAATCCCTCCTTGAATATATGAAGGACTTTGCTTGAACATGGCTTACACAAATCTTATTCTGCTTGCACTATCATTGCTTTTTTATTTCATCTCCTTTTAGATCTTAAGTTTAAAGTTAGGGATTGTCTTATCCAGCTCTATTCCCTCAAACACCACGGGAAAGAGGGAGAAAGTGCTGAGGAAACTGCCCAATGTCACATAGCTAGTAACTAAAGGAGACAAATTTGAACGTCAGGCCCTCAGACTTAAAGCCCATGTTCTTTCTACCACACCATTCTGTACTCCCTGCTAGTAACTTCTTTGTAATAACAAACAAAGATCTGTAAAATTTAATGGAATTTAAGACTAGCTTTCTTGTTAACCTCAGGGAACCTCTGAGGTAGTGGATACAGAGAAAATAATTTCTACAATTATACTTTCTCTACACTTGGCATCACATCCCTACATATCTTTATATTATGGCCAACAAAACAAACTTAATGTACAGTTTTCAGGAGACAGCATTAAAACCAGCTTCAGTTCCTGAAGTATTAGATGTCTTTTCCTGGTTCTTTATTCAAGCAGAATTGAAGCTATGATTAGTATGCCTGGGACAGAGTAAGAATTCAATATTTGTTGAATAAATGAAGAAGTGACAAAATTAATCATTTCTTTTGCTGTCCAAGAGCTTAAGTTTACTTCGTCTGGTTCCTCCTCCAATCAGTTTCTTCACCATTACTGTCTCCTTAGAGTGATGGCTAATAAAAACAACTGGCAACTATTTTTGCATAACTTTTCAGTTTCTGATGCCACCTACCAAGCAGTTCAATTCTACTTCAAAGGCATCTCAAATTTACATCCCACTTATTAAGTCCCACTTCCACCTGTGCCTCTACTAGTATCTCTCACCTGCCTAGCCACAGTAACCTCCTTTAACCTTCGTAAGGATCTTCAGCCCTCTACTCTTAACCTTCTCTAATCTATTGTCCATATAGCAGGGTAATCTTTATTAAAAAAAAAAAGAAGAAGAAGAAAGAAATGATGGTGTTATTCCCCTGGTTAAAACACAGTAATAACTTCCCATTACCCTTCAAATAAAATAAAAATTCTTCACCATGGAAGTCCTTACAGTATCCTTCATGACCCCGCCTACCTACCTCTTAACTTCATCTCATTCTACTCTCCTCAGCAAACCCCATTTGGCTATATTGGCCTTCCTTGATCATAGGACCACTAAATTATTACCTAGCACCACTATCTGTTCCTATTCTTTGTAGCACTTACAAAAATTATTATTATACATTTGTTTATTTTACTGTCTCATCTATTAAACTGTATATACAGTTAGATAACACAGCTTATAATGTACATTGTACAATAAAAAAATAACAGATTAAAAAAAACAAACAAACCCATTGCCATTGAGTCCGTTCCAACTCATAGCGATCCTATAGGACAGAGCAGAACTGTTCCATAGGGTTTCCCAGGAGCAGCTGGTGGATTTGAACTGCTGACCTTTTGGTTAGCAGCCTAGTTCTTGACCACTGTGCCACCAGGACTCCAAACAACAGACAGCATTTAGTAAATATGTGCCAGGTATTATGCAAGTATTTTTACATAATTATTTCTAAATTTTTAAAAATGTTATCTCTAAGCTTCACATTCCCACAAGATAGAATTATCATAATTTTGTAAGTAAGGAAATTAAAGAATAAAAGCCACATGGCCAGTAAGTGGTGACACCTAAATCCAAACTCAAGGATGTCTGACTCCAAAATCCATGATCTTTTTATTTTACCACACTCTCCTGCTGCTCATGTTAGCTACATAAATACAAAATGGTAACATTATTAAGACTGCTGCCTAAGAATGCAGGACATCTTTACAGACATTGTAGACTGAGATGTCATAGTAAAATCTAAGGTATAGTACTCTTTATAAATCTATAAACTATATAAAGTATGAAATGTCATATTTTAATATAAATTCCTTTAGCAATTGTTTAACTTACTTGTTTGTGTTTTAGAAACATGTTTCTGGAGAAAATCAACTATCTGAGACAAAACCTTCTTATTACAATGCGTTGATAATTTTTGATCACACTCATAACACCTGAAAGAATATAAAGAATTTAAGTGAATATTATGAAAGCATTTTCCATAATTTTGCACATCAGGAAATAAAGTTGTTATTTAACTACTTTTTGTCTTGAAATTATGTAGTAGGGTAAGGAGGAGGTACCAGGTAAGTCTAGAGAAATAAGCAAGGGAAACATCATACAGAATCTTACAGTTCAAATTAAAGTTTTGATAGTTTATCCTAAGTGTTATGGAATGCCATAGGGTTTTTTAAGCAGGGGAGTGATAGTATCCAATTTACATTTTGAAAACATAAGTTTGACTAATGTTATTAAATCAGATTAAAAAGCAACAGGAATGGAAACAGATTAGGAAAGAAGCAACGGATCTGGAGAGAAGTAGGCAGATTATACATATTTACAGGTAGAAACAGTAATGAATTAGGTATAAAAGATGAGTGAGAAGAAAATGTCAAAACAACTGCCATGGGAGGAGAAAAGTGGGTGAGGATTTATTGATGGTCCTCAGCCAGAGAAGATTTTGACTCTCAGGGGACATTCTGCAATGTCTGGAGACAATTTTAGTTGGCACAACTTGGGGAGAGGGGATTTTGCATCTGGCATCTAGTGGGTAGCGGCCAGGGATGCTACTAAACACTCTACAGTGCACAGGACAGCTTCCTGTAACAAAGGATTATCTAACACAAATGCCAATAATGCTGACGTTAAGAAACTCTAGATGAAACAAGACTTGCTATAAGTCGATAATCAGTAAAGCTCAGGTTTCTCTCAGGTTTTAACTGTTAAGGCTGGATTATACTACTCTGCCCACTTTTGTTAAAAGGTTAAAAAACAAAATGAGATAAAAAGGGGGAAAAAATAACTGGTTTCTGGCTTAATTACCCGAGTGATGGAGGTGCCACTTATAGTGACGGGAAGACTGGCAGAGACAGGTGTTTTATCTTGTTTGCAACTTTTATTCTGGGGGCTCGCAGAAGAGATCTTCAAAGGCATATCCCAGTTCAGAAAACTAACCTCAACCAAGTTTACTCATTATTGCATAGAATATTTTTCTATATATTACCATTAGCTATCTGTTTTATCTTCATGAGATCCAGTGATCAAATAAATGCATACGTTTGGAAGTGTTTTATAAATTGTAATATGTTACACCAACTCTACCTTAAATCTTCTCACCTAAAACTCTTAGAGGTTCTTTAGGTCCTTGTATAAATAGCACTCAAAATTCAGTCAAATATTTACTGAGTACCTACTCTTATCACTTGCCCATAAAAACAGAAAGATAGATATAGATCTCTGAAGAAACCAAGTCACAGAAAACATCCCCCAAAACATCTTTTCCAATAAATCATGATCAAATTTAAACAATTTATTTACATTTACCAGGCTTACATTATAATAAGTGCTCAATTTTTACTGATAATTAATTACTTCAAAAAAAAATTGACATATTAAGAAATTTTTACTGATGTTACAAATTCAGTTTTTACTTGTTACAGAATACATTGTTTTAACTTTAAGAGTACAAAAAGAAAACACAAATACATAAAAACCAGCCTGACGACAGTGAATTTGGAGAGAAGACAGCCTCAAGATAACTTAATTCTAGTTGTTTCCATTAGAAATAACAAAATACTTTTTTTTAAAACTGAGTATCAGCTGCTAACCAAAAGGCTGGCAGTTCGAATCCACCAGCTGCTCTTTGGAAACCCTATGGGGCAGTTCTACTCCGTCTGTAGGGCCGCTATCAGTCGGAATCAACTCGACAGCAATGGGTTTGGTTTTTTTTTTAATCAACCATGTGCCAGGCACTGTTCTAAGTGCTATGTGTGTATTATCTGGTTTAACCCCTCACAACAATCATGGACAGCATTATTATTTTTTAAATAAGTATCTTTATAAACCAAAACCAAACCCACTGCCCTCGAGTCGATTCCAACTCATAGCAACCACATGGGACAGAGTAGAACTTCCCCACAGAATTTCCAAGGCTATAAATCTTTACGGAAGCAGACTGCCACATCTTTCTCCCGAAGTGCAGCTGGTGAGTTCAAACCACCAACCTCTAAGCAGCTGAGCGCTTAACTAGGGCTCCTTAAATACCTTTACAGAAGTATAATATTTTCTTTTTACAGATGAGGGAATTGAAACACAGGAAGGTTTGCAAATTCAATAGAGAAGTTAAGAGTACAGGAGAAATGCTGAAATCTTCTTTCAACAAACTTTTAAAGCACTTCAAAAACCAACCAAACCTGTTGCCATCAAGTTGATTCCGGCTCATAGCGACCCTATAGGACAGAGCAGAACTGCCCCTAGAGGGTTTCCAAGGAGTGGTTGGTGGATTCGAACTGCCAACCTTTTGGTTAACGGCTGAGCTCTTAACCACTGCACCACCAGGGCTCCTAAAGCACTTTAAAAGCACTCATTTATATGTAACTCTAAGTGTTAAACCACTGCCTATTAACCATGTTTAGGCATCAGAATCATCTGTGGAACTTAAAAAATCCAGAAGCCCTAATAGGTGTGACTTACTAAGGGGCCAATGGCATTCAGAGGCTTTTCAAATCCCAGGGGTAATTCTGATGTGAAATCAGGGGTAAGCACCACTGAGTTAAGAATCATTATCCATTCATTAAGGCAACATTAAATCTACTATCTAGCAATGCTTTGTAGCCATGATTAAGTTATCAAATTTACCATATTTTTTGTCTTTTTTTATATAGCTTAGGTTTTTCTCAGGGTGGCCTTCCCTTTAATCCAAATTAGTAATGCTTTGTACTGACACTTGCCAAGTTCTTTTATAGAGAAGTAGAGCAGAAAAGAGGATAGTGACAATCTTTATATTTCTATAAATGCAATTTGACAAATTTGAATTTCTTCCGTTTAAAGGAAAATAATTCTATAAGTCCCAAATTCTGATTTAAATTTTTTCACTATAATATACGTAAACCTAACACATATACTCATAAAACTCAATAAACTCATGATCCTTGTACCACTATATTAACTAAAAGAGCAAAAATAAATTATATAATGAAATACAAAAACAAAATTACAAAACCAATTAAATTAAAACAAACAACACTACTATTGTGTTTTGCTCAAATTAAATCACCATTCATACCATAAGTACGGTGCTAATAGTTAGGACACAGGTCTTGGCACACATTCTTTTGAGATGAGCCTACCCTGCCAGGTGCCATGTCATAACTCAATTCTCCCACCACCTCTCTACTCCAGTTGTTCTCAAACTGTGGTCCCCAGACTAGCAGCAACAGCAACACCTGGGAATTTGTAAGAAATGCAAATCCTAAGGACTCACTCCAGACCTACTGAATCAGAAATTCTAGGATTGGAGCTCAGCAATCCATTTTAATAAGCATTCCTGGTGATTCTGATGTGCCCATAAGTTTGAGACCACTGCTCTACTCAGACTACTGTGAAATCTTTATTGAGCTGTCACATGATAACATGATCCTCCTTTCCCTTGGCTTCAAAGCATCATTTACACATTAAGTTTGCCTTTGTTCTTTTCTCATTCTCCCCAATAATGTTACTTGGAGCCAACAAAATAAAGACACAAATGCAGACTTGAGCATCATCAAATCTCTGTGGCTGTATTAAATTAAAAAAATGATTTCCTATATGATCCAGAATATCCTTATATTAATTTTCGAACCTTGAAATAAAAAGACGAAGTTAAAATATTTTTGTCTTGAAAAAAACTTACGCATCCCAGAAAACTCAAAAAACAAAAAAAACCCCAAAAAACCTAGGAGTCTATAGGTTGGAAAAGTATTGTTGTAAAATATAGGGAAAGCTTTTCCATACAATGTCCGGTTATACCACTTGATAATGACGAATTTTACCTGAATCCTGTGAAAAGAGCAATGGCTAAAGATATCCCCTCACCCTTTGTGTTCAGGAAATGGGTCACTGCAAATAACTACTCTTCCTCTAGGTCTTAGATAACTCACAATGCCCCCTTTTTTACCTATGACAAGGTCAGACACCAAAACTCAAACAAAACTCACCACAACTGAGTAGATTCTGACTCATAAGGAGCTCCAGTGGTGTAGTGGTTAAGCACTCAGCTGCTAACTTAAAGGTCGGCAGTATGAACCCACCAGCTGCTCCTTGGGAAAAAATGTGGCAGTCTGTTTCCATAAAGATTACAGCACTGGACACACTAAAGGGACAGTTCTACTCTGTCCTACAGGGTCACTGTGAGTCAGATGAAGCCAGACACAGACCCTCAAACTTCTATTCCTTGCCTCATAAATGAGTAACTGAATTGCTTGTCCCTCCTGACCAATCAGAAACAAAATGTTAATCAGACTGGTTAGACTTCTCCCCTTCCCCCAAGCCCCTGAACTTTGGCCCACCCTCAGTCAGAGCTAACATTTGTTATTAGCTGCCATCAATTTGGCTCTCCCTTATGGTGACTCCATCTATAACAGAACAAAATGTTGCCTGGTCCTGCACCATCTTCAAGATCATTAGCATGCTCGAGTCCATTATTGTGGTCACTGTGTATTTTGAGTGTCTTCCAACCTAAAGGAATCATCTCCCAGCACTGTATCAAACTATAGTCTATTATGAGGGTGTTCACTGGCTAATTTTCAGAAGTAGATCATCAGGCCTTTCTTCCTAGTCTGTCATAAGTCTAGAAACTCTGTTGAAACCTGTCCACATGGGTAACCCTACTGGTATCCGAAATATCGGGAGCATAGCTTCCAGCATCATAACAACATGCAAACTACCACAATACAACAAACTGACAGATGGGTGGTAGAGCCAACAAACTACCCCTCTTTAAGGGCTCCTCCTGGAGAATAGGCTGGTCTCAGAGTAAAACATTCTGATTTACTATCTGACGACTTCATCCTTTCGTCTCACTTCCTCATCTCAGTCTCTTTATAAAACAATAACAACAATGCTTTTTCCTAATTCTTGAGGGGCTTGCTGATCTCATGGTCAGAGTGTTCTCCCTATTATAACAGACCCCTACCCCAACTGTAATAGTCCCTTTGCCCCTTATTTCCCCCTTTTCATTCTGAATAAAACCTCTTCCTGTCAAAGTCTGGATTTGCTTTTTTATTCAACACACTGAGAAGAGACTAGGCATCAAAAGCCTTGTTTTAGTGCCTGCATTTTTACTTTGTAACCACAAAAAAGTGATACGCAGTTTCCTCCAGGACCTTCCAAGGAAATGGTTCAACTTCAGCTGAGAATCTGCATTTCTAACAAGTTCACAGGCAATACTAATGTTGCTGGTTAGGGACCAATTCTGAGAACCACTAGTGGAGCTGTGGATCTCAACATTTATTATACATAAGAATTACCTGGGGATCTTGTCAAAATGTAGATTCTCATTCAGTGTATCTGGGGTGGAAATGCAAATTCTGAGCAGGGGTTCAAACCGGAAGGAATCAGTCTGTGGTTTCCTTTTCGTTGTTCTCTTTACTGGTGTATAGGAATCCAACTGATTTTTGTATGTTTATCTTGTATCCTGCTACTCTGCTGAATCTTTCTATTAGTTCCAGTAATTTTCTCATGGATTCTTTTGGTTTTTCCATGTATAGTATCATATCATCCACAAATAGGGACAGTTTAACTTCTTCATTACCAATCTGGATGCCCCTTCTTTTTCTTGCCTTATTGCTCTAGCTAGGACTTCCAGCACAATGTTAAATAGGAGTGATGATAAAGGGCATCCTTGTCTTGTTCCTGTTCTCAAGAGGAAAGTTTTCAGCCTCTCTCCAATAAGAATGATGTTGCCTATTGATTTTGTATAGATGCGCTTTATTATGTTGAGGAATGAATCAGTTCAGAGCCTGGTTTCTCATACATAAAATGAGGGAACTCAACCAGGTTCTCAACCAGAGTTAAGCAGAACAATCACCTGAGAAGTTTTTACAAACTACATATGCCCAGGCTTTCCTTTTCCCCTGCAGAGAATCCAGACACTACTTAGCTACCTGAAATACCTTCAACTCTGCACTACGAAATTCTGTACTAGCAAGGTCATTAAGAGAAATCAATTGGAACAAAATTTTCTTTACGAAACAAAGAAAACTGCACAGAAAAGTAGAGGGATGAATAAATTTTTCCTGATTTAAATTTTATTCTCATAGATAATATTAATTTTCTTAAATTATCCTATAGATTGTGTTTAAGCTAAAAAGGGATAAGCTTGTATAACATCTTTAAATATTTTACCTTGTAAAGTTCAAAATAAAATGATTGTTTTGGTACTGGATGTGGACTAACAAAATTTAACTTACCGTATAATCCATGTGCTCGGACTAATTACAATACAATGGGGCTCTGTTCTTGAACTCTTGAAGTGCTTCAGTGAATGCTGACTTTCTGAGTTTTTACCACATCCCTGAAGATGAACAGAATGTTCTTTGTATCATTTAACTTATAAAGTTGTTTCAAATTAATCAAAACTTAAACTATAACTCAAATTTATACTGAAAAAGTTTTATTTTTAATTTCAAGCACGAAGGAAAAGTTTCAGGAAGCAATATTGTAAAGAATTTCACTTTACCCAAAGAATATGGTCTTTGTCCTTGATTCCTGAGTGATAACCTCTAAAACCTTAGAATTTCCATCCACAGTGATTGAAGTGTCTTTGATAAGGTCTCCACACCACACCTGAGGGTTTATGCTAATAAGGTGACTCAGGTAGGGGCTGGCCAGGCCTGAAAAACCAGTACGTGGTATTAGCCAACCTAGGGGGAGTGGGCATGATTCAAACTATCATGCCACTTGATGAAGCCCCAGTAAAAGCTCTAGATACAGAAGCTCCACGGGCTTCCTAGTTGGTGAAAGACATTGATGCATGTGGGAGGGCAGTGCATCCGTTTTTGGGATAAGGAAGCTCTACACTCAGAACCCTCCTATGCAAAACTTGATTTGTATCCTTTGTGCCATAATAAAACTGTAATAGTAAGCAGGGAACTTTCCTGAGTTCTCTGAGTCATTCTAGTGAATTATTGAACCCAAGGAAGTAGTGGAAGCCAGCAGGCCAGAAGTGAGAGAAGTCCTGAGGACCCCAAGCTTATAGTTGGCCTCCTGAAAAGGTAATGCTAAACCTGGAATTTTTAGCCAGTAGGTCAAAAGTGAGGGTGTCATGGGGGCTCCTAAGCTTATAGCTAGTATCAGAGGTCCTGGGCAGGCCTGCCAGTGAGGAGGTCTGTGGCCTGTAACTTATGAGGTCTGGTTAGGGTGGTTAGGGTCAGAGAAAAGTGTCGCGTGTGCAGCTGGTGTCAGAACAGAAGTAGGACAGAGAACAGATTTGCTAATAACTTGATTTTGATTTCCATACAGTTTGGTATCAGGAAAGTGGGAAATGGGATTTGATTTTCCCAGCAAATACAAGTTGTTGCTAAATTTAATTTCTTGCAAAGGGGCTAACTTGCTTTCGTTATATAATATTTACCTAAAGCAATCATGAGCAAAGTTAATTTCCCTGTCATTTAAAAATGTATACATTCTCTGTCTTGCGCACTGTGGGACAGAGTATCCTGGCCGGCCAGTAGTTGTCCCTCCTCCTTCGACCTACCCAAACACACATATTTCCCAACACTGTGACAAGCTCCACCCCAATCCCACTGAGAACTGCTGAGACTCAAACCAATCACAGTAATTTTCCTCACCAGATTAAGTAAAGAAATGTACAATTTTGTTTTCTCCTCAATGCAACATGAGGGTAAGTCTGCTGATGTCTCTGGGAAGGTTTTACATGTTTTTTAAAAAAAAGAAGACAGGGAAGAGTTGTACTTTCTGCCCCATTTTCTGGCCTCTGGACATTGCTGTGTGAGGCACAGTGGTGCAAACGGTTAAGCGCTTGACTACTAAGTCAAAGGTTGGTGGGTTTGAACCCACCCAGAGGCGTCTTGGAAGACAGACATGTGATGTGCTTCCAAAAGGTCACAGCCTTGAAAACCCTATGCAGCAGTTCTACTCTGCACACATGGGGTGGTCATGAGTTGGAATTGACTCTACAGAACTAACAGCAACATGTGAGACATAATGCCTGAAGCATCTTCAGCCATCCTGAAACCATGAGCTGAAGTCGGCACAGCAGAAAAATGGAAGAAATCTGAGTGTTTAATGTTTCTCCATTGAAACAACTAACCCTAAAGTGGCCCTACTTCTGGACTTTCTATGTGAGATAATAAGGATTCCTTTTTTTTTTTTTAAGATTAAAAAAAAAGTTCACACTTCTAATTTCACTTGAAAATTCCTTTATCATACAGATCAATAGCTTCTAAATTGTAAGATAAATTAGTGGGAAAAAAAAGAAGCAGAGTAATCGTTTTTCAGAGAGAAAGTATGAAACTTAAAGAGTTTTTAAAACTTGGCTCAATTTTCTAAATATATATAAATAGATAGGTACAGACAGGTCCAGATATGGCAAATACAGCAAATAGGCTGGATTCCCTTTCAAAGTATTTATGATTAATTTCCAAACATAACATACTTTTCACTTTACCTTAACAAATATTTCTAAGCTCATTCTTGGAGAGTTTCTATCTAAAAATGGAATGAATTTATCTTAAAACCTTTGCATGACCAATAGTCCAAATGACAGTAAGCATTTAAGGAAAATATTTAAGAGAATCTCACATGTAAATAACACTTTTCTTACCTGAAAACCACACTTGAGGCACAACCAAATATCAGAAAGAAGTACTGGCTGTCCATCATAGAATCTTGTTTCTTTTAAACACTCTGAACAAACTGACCACAGATTCTCAGCTACTGCTTTCTTTACATGATTCACACTGACAGCTTGACTCACATGTTGGCAAGTCAAACCTCCTGAATAAGACAAAACAAAATTTGAACATGTTTTTTGCTAAACTAAATTGTTTCCACCAACAAGCAAAATGCTGTAAGTAAAAGGCACTGAAATTCAAAAAACAAAACTCAAAAGGATATATATGGCATGATTCCATTTATATAACATTCATAAAAATACATACAATTGTAAAGCTGGAGAACAGATTAATGATTGCCAGACGTTAGAAGCAGGGGGCAGGGGTGTGTGGCTATAAGGGATAGCATGAGGGAGTCTTGCGGTGATGATACAATTAAGTATCTTGATTATGGTGGTGGCTGTATAAAGCTACAATAAAACTGTATAGAGCTATGAGTACATGCACGCACACACACACAGTGCACGTATAACTGGTGAAATCTGAATAAACTCCATGGATTGTACCAATGTCAAGTACCTGGTTTTGATATTTACTAGAGTTATACAAGATGTTAACATTGGAGGAGGCTGGATGGAGGACTCAAGGAACCTCCCTGTACATTTCTTTGCACCTCCCTGTGAAGCTGTAATTATTTCAAAATAAGAAAGTTTAATTGAAAAAAAAGGAAAGATTAAATATTTCTTGAACAGCTACTATGTGTCAAGCATTTTGAATATGTGTTCCTTCCATTAAGATACACAAGTAAAATCTTTTCTCACAGACTAGCTTTGTTATGATGCTATTTTCATCATTGCTGGGAGAAAGGAGAGAGAGAAACAATGGCATAATTTACAGGAACAAGAATTCCCAGAATCTTTCTTCTTAATGGATATTCCCAAATAACAAATGATTTTACCTGGCCCCTAAATGATCCTTTATAACAAATTCCCACTATGTGCTGCACTGCACAGAAATGGCCAAAACAGACCAAATACGTTTTTAGTTCTTCAAATTACCATATTCTTCTCAACATGGGTGGAATTATACTTCCACTTTTCCCAAATGTCTCAAAACTTCAATTTCTTCAGCTCCAATATCCCATACAGCAAAATTACAACTACCTACCAAAATCAAACATTCAAGGAAGAGAGTGAGTAACCTGAAGAGGGAAACAGAAGGAGATGGTATGTACATTTCCACTCTCTCTACTTCCTTTTCTAAATGCAAAACATTCCTTTTCACCTACTTGTTAACTAGAGAGAGGCTAAGCATTAGTTCTGTTTCATCCTGGAGACCAAGAATGTGATTCCTAACAAGTTATTTATGATAAAATTTAATTTCAACAAAAATAATACGTAAATCTGAATGAAAGATGAAAAATCTTAACTTTAGGCTGCCCTGAACTGTGCAGGGTGGCCAAGGGAGTCACTATCCATGGGTTCATGTTGTAAAAGAGCTCCTTGACAAAGAAAAGAATTCTAGAATAATGGCTTCATCCAGCACTCCAACAGTCATGACAAAGTAAGGAGAATAGTTGCAGAGGAGGGTCGTACAGCAAGAAACCTAACAGCTTGGAGTGTTCCACTAGAAAGCAAAGATGATGACGGAAAGCCTAAATGTCAAACAGGTGGGATATCGAAGAGAATAATTCAAGGCACTCATAAAACTACTATACAACAGCCCCATAAAACCAAATGGGACTAATGAGGTACAGTAGTGCAGTGACAAGGGCCAGAAGGCAGAAGGGGACAAGGAAGCTGGTGATAGGGAATCCAAGGTTGAGTAAGGATATTGTTGATGTGTTGTGAGATTAACCATTGTCATAGGACAACATGTGTAGTAACTGTTAAATGAGAAACTATTTTGTTCTGTAAGCCTTCATCTTAAGTGAGAATAGCAGCACAACTGGAAGAGCGTAGTCATTGTCACTGAACTGTGCATGTAGAAATTTTTGAAATGGTGCATCTTTGGCTATGTGTATTTTCACCAGAAAAAAAGGTTGAGAAGTTAGAGGGTTGACATGTTGTGGGGTTGTTAACCAATGTCATAAAACAATATGTGTACTACTGTTTCATGAGAAACTATTTGTCCTGTAAGCCTTCACTTGAAGTACAATGAAATAAAATAAAAAAACTCAATAAAATATTAAAAAACAAACAAAACAAAACAAAACAAAAAACTACTATACAGTTCACTGCGTAATTCCTGGTGTCTTAAATGCTTGCAAATGGCCATCCAAGGCTCAACAACTGGTCTCTGTTTGCCTGGAGCTACAGAGAAAGAGAGAGAGTCTGGGATAGGAGGAAGGAAATGGAACGTGTGGCTAATGACTTCCATGAACAACTGCCTCCTTTGCCCTGAGACCAGAAGAACTGGATGGTGCCCAACTACCATTACTGAACATTTTGATCAAAGATTCTATATAAGTATCCTAATCAAAAGCGGGAAAATGCAGAACAGAATTTAAATTCTCATGGACTCCAGACTTTCTGGAACCATGGAGGCTGATAAACCCCTAAAATTATTGCTCTGAGATAATCTTTAAACCTTAAACTAAAAATATTGCCTAAAGTCTCCTTAAAACCAAATAACAGTTTAGCTTAACTAGTAAAAAATGTCTGCCTTGAGCAGTATGCTCTTTTAAGAACTATCTCTATGGGATCAAATTGACAATAGAAACTCAAAAGATTAGATAGGAACCTTAGGGGCAGTGAGTTTATGTTAATGGGGGAGGAACAACTCAGAAAAGGAGGGTAAGAATGGTTGCACAACTGGAAGAATGTAATCAATGTCACTGAATTGTGCAAGTAGAAACTGTTAAATTGGTGTTATGTTTTGCTGTGCAAATTCTCAGCAACAAAAACAAAGTAAAAATTTTTTAAAACCCTAATTTTACACCAGGAGCAAATTATAATAGACATGAAAGAAGTAACTCTGAAGTCCTACATTTAAAAAGCAGGAACTCATGCCATTAAAGAAAAGCCTGTCCCAGAGAAGACTGATAAATGACCACACAAATTTAGAGATGCTTTACCACGTCACTGCTTTGAGTTTTATATTTTAAAATTCTTAGAGGAAAATAATTCCACACACCTTCTATATCCTCTCTGAGGTGGGATCTGGCCAGTGTACAACTTAAATATTCTCTGATTCTACTATGCAGACTATAAAAACTGAAATTGTTAATGAATCAAGAGATAAATGAATTCAAGATAAAAAGGTTCTAGGCCCCTAAATTAAATCTATTGGCTTTTAAATGCCTCAACATATATACTTTTCTAAGTTTAAAAAAAAAAGAAGTTTAAAGTTTTCCTGTAAAAGCTACTGTATGTTTATCTTTTGTGGGGGTGGAGGAGATTTCCTTTTGTGCTAATAATTTTCTCAGTTTCGTGTATATTTTTTAAATCATATCTCTAATTTTCATCTGACAAATAGGTCCTCTAGAGATTCCTGAATAAAATATAAAAATGTATTAAAGTCCGCAGTTGTTTCACATTAAATGAATCAAAAAAAATAATTAGAAGCTCCATGTTTTCCACTTTAAATATAAATAAAAACCTTACAAGGAGGACTTCCAATTTGCAAATTGTGGCATAAAGTCAACACTTTCCCCTTCCTCTGGAAATTATCCAAGGGCAACAAGAAGAGGGAAAAAAACATGAAGTCCGTTTTCAGAGAAATCAGGAGATTGCTGAAACCCCCGAGTCACAAATTAAGTAGGACTCTGACCTTGAAGCAGCAGAGATCAAACACGGATGCATGCAGAAGGGAACAGAGGGAGAATACTGCAGCTGCAGATTTCATAAAGAACAATGTCTGCTTCTCAGGCATAGAATGAAACCTAAATCACTGTGTCGTAACAACAACGTAAGGAGCTCCCCTATATCCAATTTTGTTTGAGAAGGAGGAGAAGAAGCAAATTTCTCATTTCTTAAACGAGAAGTCAAAAAGCAAACCGTATTTGCAGGAAGCAGTTTGTCTCCATGCAGTTGGGGAGAAGAGATACTTTGAATTTGAAAAAACCTAGAGCCGCCTGTCCCTACTGGCTGGAAAGAAGGATAAACGAACTCAAACTGACAACTCCAGCTAGGTCTGAACAGGGCTCTGGTCCTCCTTTTCACACAAACATTCTAAAACTAGCTGGTCCAAAAAATCAAGAATGAATAATCAAAGAGTGACCAATGCCACAAATTCAATGGTAAGGAAGGAAAGAAAAGGAAAAATAAATGGCAGCACAATCCCTGTCCTGAAATAAAAACAAAACAGAAACAAGCACTCAATGACAAGATGGCAAAACAACAGGAAGTGGGCTGGCAAATTCAGGAAAAAAGTGGAAAGAAAAAAAAAATCACAATGATAGCCAAACTGAAAAGACTATAAGACAAAGTGAACACTGCTAAAAACAGAGTAAGGATAAAAATGAAAACAGGCAAAACAAAGAGGAAATAATGAGTTTTAAAGGATTTAGGAAAAAATGATAACTATGGGAGACAGGCAAAGGAGAGTTAACAAATAATCAGAATCCCTGAGGAAGAGGAAATATTTAAATATATAATTCAGATCTCCTTGAATACAGATTAGATATCCTGTAACACTGTCCAAGTTAAAAACATTTAAAAATGGAGATAATATATTTAAAAAAAATCTTTTTAAATGGAGACTGAAATTGGCAAGAAACTAAGGAAAATTCTCAGAGGCTAAAACCTAAGGAAAAGCATGAGGCTACAGAGAAAAACAGCCCTGAAGCCAGCAGTTCCCAAGTGTCATCTGCCAATTTCTGGTGGCTTGGAGCCTTGGTTTTAACATGCCATGAGAAGGAGACCAGACAAAAGCCATGTTGGGGAAAAATTAGAAAGAGTACCATTAAAGACAGAAATAAGATAAAGATGCATGTATAGACAAGATAAAGAAATTAGAGATACTTTTTATCCCTTTTTCATGCTGTATTATTTTCAGAGGCTTTGATTATATATTTGGAAAATCAACTGAAAAACAATTCAAACAACCTGAGAGAATTTAATAACTAAGCTGAATACAAAATTAATATACAGAAATCAATAGCATTCACATATTCAAACAAGCAGGGCCTGGACTAGGGTGAGCAGCCAGGGGATTCAGTTGCAAAATATAAGGTACTCTCAGGAGCCAATTCTGCCCTTGTACAACCTAAAAGTTAAATGCTGTACACACTAGGTGTTGAGCTTGCCTCACCCTAGTCCTGGTCCTGCAAAAAACAACTAGTTAGATGATATACATTTTTACAGCAATAAAAAAGTTGAAATATCTAGATATAAACTTAACAAGAAATGTGAAATATCTACACATAAAAAAATTTTGGCCTCCAAGGGACATAAAGGAAGAGTTAAGCAAATGGATCTCAAACACTAAAAATCACAAAGATGCCAACTCTAAGTTACTTTATAAATTAAACAAAATTCCAACTAAAAAACCAACAAGATTTTTGGAACTAGACAAGCTAATTCCAAAATTCAGACAGAAAATGGTGAAAATAAAGAGTAATGGATTTATTAATCAAAAACGTATACTGTCATTTCTTTTCTTCAGCACTATATGGGGTGTCAGATATCATGACTTACCAGCAATGTCATCTGAAGAGTCTTCATCGTGAGGTACGTTAGGCCTTTTACTTCTTTTGCCTTTCTCAGGTAAATCACTGGATGGCTCTCTCACCCGCATCTGTTACTTACTGAAAAGATCGGGGGAGAAAGTGAATATACTTTAATTCCCAAAATTAAATTTTATATAGTTTACTTAATGCATATTAAAATTGATATGACTTCAATTTTTTTTCTGTTTACCATTGTAGTTTACTTTCAACTTAGTCTCTTGTACAAAAATTTATACATACATTGCTATGTGACCCAAATTGCTCTGTCTATACTGTGACAGCACGCTCCGCCTTTCCACCCGATTTCGCATGTCAATTCGATCAGCTCCTAACCCTCTCTGCCTTCTCATCTCACCTCCGGACAGAAGCTGCCCGTTTACTCTCATGTATCTAACTGAGCCAGGAAGCATACTCTTCACAAGGATCATTTTATGTCCCGAAGTCCAGTCCAATCTTTGTCTGAAGAGTTTGCCTCAGAAACTGTTTTAGTTCTGGGCTGACAAAGAGTTAGGAAGTCGTGTTAACTGCCGTTCCTCCAGTCTCAGTCAGACCATTAAGTCTGATCTTTTTACTAGAATTTGAATTCTGCACCCCACCTTTCTCTTGCTCCATCAGGGACTTTCTGTTGTGTTCCCTGTCAGGGCGGTCATTGGTGGTAGCCAGGCACCATCTAGTTCTTCTGGTCTCAGGCTGATGAAGTCTCTGGTTTATGTGGCCCTTTCTGTCTCTTGGACTAATACTTCCCTTGTGTCTTTGGTGGTCTTCATTCTCCTTTACTCCAGGTGGTTGGGACCAACTAACTGATGCATCACAGATGGCTGCTTGCAAGCTTTTAAGACCCCAGATGGCACTCACCAAAATGGGAGGCAGAACATTTTCTTAACAAACTTTGTTATGCCAGTTGACCTAGATATCCCCTGAAAGCATGGTCCCCAAACCCCCGGCCCTGCTACTCTGTCCCTTGAGTGTTTCCTTGTATTCAGGAAACTTCTTAGCTTTGGTTTAGTCCAGTTGTGCTGACTTCACCTATAGCGTGTGCTGTCCTTCCCTTTACCTAAGATAATTCTTATCTACTATCTAGTTAGTGAATAACCCTCACCCTCCCTCCCTACCCGCATAACCATCAAAGAATGTTCTCTTCTGTGTTTAAACTTTTTCTTGTGTTCTTATAATAGTGGACTTATACAATATTTGTCCTTCTGTAACTGACTAAACTCACTCAGCATAATGCCCTCCAGATTTCTCCATGTTATAAGATGTTTCATGGCTTCATCATTGTTCTTTATCGTTGCATAGTATTCCATTGTGTAAATATACCATAATTTGTTTATCCATTCATCCACTGATGGGCACCTAGATTGTTTCCATCTTTTTGCTATTGTCAACAGTGCTGCAATGAACATGGGTGTGCATGTATCTATTCGTGTGATGGCTGTTATTTCTCTAGGATTTATTCCAAGGAGCAGGATTGCTGGATCATACGGTACTTCTATTTCTAGCTTTTTAAGGAAGCGCCAGATCGATCTCCAACATGGTCGTACCATTTTACATTCCCACCAACAATGTGTAAGTGTTGCAGTCTCACCACAACCTCTCCAGCATTTATTATTTTGTGTTTTTTTGGATTAATGCTAGCCTTGCTGGGGTGAGATGCTATCTTATTGTGGTTTTGATCTGCATTTCTCTAACGGTTAATGATGAAGAGCATATCTTTATGTGTCTGTTAGCCACCTGAATGTCTCCTTTGGTAAAATGCCTGTTCATATCCTTTGTCCATTTTTTAACTAAGTTGTCTTTTTGATGTTGAGGTTTTGCAGTATCTTGTAGATTTGAGAGATTAGACGCTGATCGGATTTGTCATAGCCAAAAATTTTTTCCCAGTATGTAGGTTGTCTTTTGATTCTTTTGATGAAGTCTTTTGATGAGCATAAGTGTTTGATTTTTAGAAGCTCCCAGTTGTCTAGTCTATCTTCTGGTGCTTGTGCTTTGTTGCTTATGGTTCGTATTCTATTTATGTCAGGTATTAGGGCTCCTGGCATTGTCCCTATTTTTTCTTCAATGATCTTTACCGTTTTTTGCTGTTATATTTAGGTCTCTGATCCATTTTGAGTTAGTTTTTGTGCATGGTGTGAGGTATGAGCCTTGTTTCAGTTTTTTACAGATGGATATCCAGTTATGCCAGCACTGTTTGTTAAGAGACTGTCTTTTCCCCAATTAACGGACTTCGGGCCGTTGTCAAATATCAGCTGGATGAATTTATGTCTGGATTCTCAATTCTGTTCCACTGGTCTATGTATCTGTTGTTGTACCAGTACCAAGCTGTTTTGACTACCGTGGCAGTAAAATAGGTTCTAAAATCAGGTAGTGTAAGGCCTCCGACTTTGTTCTTCTTGAGTAATGCTTTACTTATCTGGGGCCTCTTCCCTTTCCACATGTAGTTGGTGACTTCTTTCTCCATCTCATTAAAAAATGCCAGTGGAATTTGATCGGGATTGCATTGTACCTGTAGATTGCTTTGGGTAAAAATGGCTGTTTCACAATGTTGCGTCTTCCTATCCATGATTAAGGTATGTTTTCCCACTTATGCAGGTCTCTTTTCGTTTCTTGCAGTAGTGTCTCATAGTTTTCATTGTACAGGTCTTTTACATCTCTGGTTAGATTTATTCCTAAGTATTTTATCTTCTTGGGGGCAACTGTAAATTGTATTGATTCAGTGATTTCCTCTTCGAAGTTCTCTTTGTTGGTGTAAAGGAATCCAACTGATTTTTGTATGTTGATCTTGTATCCTGAAACTTTTCTGAAATCTTCTATTAGTTCCAGTAGTCTTCTTTTGGATTCCTTGGGGTTTTCTGTGTATAAGATCATATCATCTGCAAATAGAGATACTTTGACTTCTTCCCTACCTATTTGGATGCCCTTTATTTCTTCTTCTAGCCTAACTGCTCTGGCTAGAACCCCCAGCACAATGTTGAATAAGAGTGGTGAAAAACGACATCCCTGTCTGGTTCTCCTTCCCAAAGGGAATACTTTCAAACTCTCTCCATTTAGGATGATGTTGGCCGTTAGCTTTGTATAAATGCTTTTAATTATGTTGAGGAATTTCCCATCTATTCCTATTTTGTTGAGAGTTTTTATCATGAATGGGTATTGGACTTTGTTAAATGCCTTTCTGCATTGATTGATAAGATCATGTGGTTCTTGTCTTTTGTTTTATTAATGTGATGGATTACACTGATTGTTTTTCTAATGTTGAACCATCCCTGCATACCTGGTGTAAATCCCACTTGATCATGGTGAATTATTTTTTTGATATGTTGCTGAATTCTATTTTATATTTAAGTCTTTGATCCA